TACCTGTCACACACGCGTGCCAGCCACGCGGCCCTGCTTGGAGCCAGAAAGACAGCCCTGCTTTCCACAAATAGCACTGCTTTCCAACCACATAGCTCTCTCATTTAGACGGAGTTTCCGGCCTGTTCTCTATCTTTTTGGGTTTGACTGGCTCCAGCAATGCTCACTCCCTTGTGTCAGAGACAAAACACAGTCCTGGTCCAATCTCAGATATAGAATAACTTTCTGGTAAGTGAATCATAATGTGGAGTTTCTTTGTTTGTCAAAAATTTCTGCCAGTCTTGCTGGCTCAATGGGAGACAGTATTCTGCGAGCAAAATCATCAGTCATGTCGTGGGGGGTGACTCATTGTATATGAATTCTCATTGTTGAAGTATGAATTAGAGCTAAATTTAGTTTGGTGCAGTTTTGCTGTTTTGAAGGAAAACAGTGATGACAAAGCAGATCTTCTTTAGTTTACTGAACGCCCTGGGCCTGAAAGCACGCATTTATACAAATGATGTCCCAAAACTTTCATTTTATATTAAAGAGCTAAAGAACTAAGTCCAAGAAAAGAGAAGAGGAAGGAGAAATCTTTGATTCTGCAGGGTATAAAGTGCAGCTGGGGAGGACGATCCAAGCTCGGAGGCAACAGACAAAAAGAAAACACTGAATGATTTTAGCAAAAGAAACAAGTCACTGTGCGTTTAACAAGAAACCACATTCAAAGGGAATTGGGGGAAATGTTTGCAATAAATATGTCGGACCGATGTGAAAGGTGCATGCAAACCTGTAGGAAAAACTCAGGACCCTAAGAGATGATAGCAGATGTCCATACATCATTCGTAAAAGGGGAAACACGATTAGACACATGCTGGAAATGCTCATTCTCACTGGCAGTCAGAGAAATGCAAGTAAAAGGGAGATCACAGTTTTATTCATTAAGCGAGTAATTTTTTTAAGCTGATAAACCTGGTGTTAAATTTAGGCTAAAGACAGAAATACCCTCGTCCATTGACTGAATGGCTGTGAGGTAGTACTAACTTGTTGATCATTTTGACAGTGGATATTAGACACCCTTTAAAATGGTCCTCCTCCATGAACTAGTAATCTCAGCTCTAAGACTCTCACCTAAAACAAAAGTCCAAGAGTGGAAAACCGTGATGCTAAATACATTTATGGCAATATTACTCAGGTATCAATATTACTTAGATGTCAGGGATTGGCTGAGAAAACCGTGGCATAGCTTCTCACTGGAATAGTATGAGAATGTAACAATTTGGAAAAGAGAGATTAGGTAAAAAGAAGGGCATGAAATTATAAATATGTTATGACAAAAAAAATACACTGTATAAAAATCAAGGAAGGGTTGAAACTTAATGTCCGCACGAAAGCTTGGACATGGATAAACACTGCTGGCCGTGTTACTCATAATGGCCCAAGCTTGGAAGCAGCCAACGTATTCTACAGTAAGGGAATGCGTAAAAAAGCTGTGGTACATCTGGACAGGGGAATATCATTCAGGGCTAAAAAGACATGAGCTATCAAGCCATGAAAAGACTTGGAGGAAACTTTAAATACTAAGTGAAAGAAGCTGCTACCTAGTGTATGATTACACCTATATAAGATTCCCGAGAAGGCAAATCTATGGAGACAGTAAATAGATTTGTGGTTGCCAAGGGTTGGGGGGCAGGAGGGATGAATGGGTGGAGCACAGAGGTTTTGGGGGCAGTTCAGCTATTCGGTCTGATACTACATGGTGGATACATTATGTATTTGTCCAAACCCATGGAACTCACCCAAAGGGAGCCCTAATGTAAATTATGGACTTTGGGTGCTAATGATGTCTTGATGTAGGTTCATCAGTTATAACAAATGTCCCACCACGGCAGGGGACGTTGATGATGGGAGAGGTTGCACATATGGTCGGGGGGGCCGGGGGGCATATGAAAAATCTCTGTACCTTTTGCTCCATTTTGCTGTGAACCTAAAACTTCCCTAAAAAAAAAAAAAAATGAAGTCCATTAAAAAAATTAAACAAGAAAGAGGAAAAAGACTGGAAATATTTAAATAGGCTGTGTTTTGGTTAGGCTGTTATTTATTTTCCTTTTTCTCCATGCCTGTAATTACTATTTGAAAACATGAATGTGCATTAATTTATAATGGAAAGAAAAAAATAAACACTTAAAGAGTTTAAAGCTATGAGATGAAGCTGTACATGCAGTTGTGTATTTAAGCAATTCTGAGTTTTTGATCCCTTGTTTCTTCTTAGTGGTCAGCATTTTGTAAACACACATTCCTTTGGGCTATTTGTGAGTTTACACAACTGACCTGTACTCTAAACCTATGGCCAGTTGGAGTTTCAGTTCCCAGTAAAAATAAGCCATCTTTGGGGACTCTCAGCACGATCTGTATTCTTGGAATTTTTCCCACTATGCGTGAGTCAATCTTTGTTAATTTTAAAAACCCTAGGACTCTAGGGGCGCCTGGGTGGCTCAGTCATTAAGCGTCTGCCTTCAGCTCAGGTCATGATCCCAGGGTCCTGGGATCGAGCCCCGTGTTGGGCTCCCTGCTCTGCGGAAAGGCTGCTTCTCCCTCTCCCATTCCCCCTGCTGTGTTCTCTCTCTCACTGTCTCTGTCTGTCAAATAAATAAATAAAATCTTAAACAAAAGAAAAAAAACCCCTAGGACTCTGTTAGAAATAGCCTACCTTCTCTTAAGTGTATGCAGATATTTATTTGTGTTTAATTTACTGTTTTGCAATGATTATGTTTTTTAATGATTATACAATCACATGGATTAAAAATTAAAATTAAAAAGTTAAATAATTGGGGTGCCTGGGTGGCTCAGTCGATTAAGCATCTGCCTTTGGCTCAGATCATGATCCCGGGGTCCTGGGATCGAGTCCCACGTTGGGCTCCCTGCTCAGCAAGAGCCTGCTTCTCCCTCTCCTGCTCCCCCTGCTTGTGCTCTCTCTCTCTTTCTGTCAAATAAATAAAATCTTTAAAAAAAAGGTTAAATAATTGACTAAAAATATATATAGTGATAATTCTTCCTGCCTGGTCTCCCATCTGCTTAGTTCCTCAACACCCCCATTCTAAGGAACGACTATTTTATTTTATTTTTTAAATTTTATTTATTTATTTATTTATTTATTATTTGAGAGAGAGTGAGAGAGCAGGTGAATGGGGGGAGGGTCAGGGGAAGAGGGAGAGGCAGAGAATCCCAAGCAGACTCTGTGCTGAGTGTAGAGCTGGATGTGGGAGTTCATCTCATGACCCTGAGATCATGACCTGAGCTGAAACCAAGAGTTGGACGCTTAACCGACTAAGCCACCCAGGTGCCCCAGGAACTACTATTTTAAAATTCTTGTGACTGCTTCCAGAGTTTCTTTATGCATGTATATGCAAACACTAATATATATTTTTATTTTTCCCTAGTTTTATACAAAAAGGGGCACATTTTATACATTGTCTAACACCCAGCTTTTCCACTTAGCAATGTATCTTTCCTCATCAGCACATAAATAGCTTCTTACTCCTCTTTGCAGCTACAGAGAACCCCACATGTGTATTTGTAGACTCACCATCATTTCCTTAACCAGTCCCCTGCTAATGGACAGTTGGGTTCTTTTTGATCCATTGCTATCAACAACAGCACCGTAAGGACGAATCTTACACGTACATTTCATACACGTGCAGGGATATCCACAGAATAAATTCCCGGAAGTGAAGTTGCCGGGTCAGAGTATAAGCCTCTATAGCTCTGATTGCCAAGTTATTCTGATTGCCAAGTTATTCTGATTGCCAAGTTATTCTCCTTCGGGAAGGGTTTACACTCATACCAGCCATACTTCTGAGTGCCCGATTCTCTACATCCTTGGCAAAAGAGTGCTTTGCTTCCAGTATGATTATTGTCATTCTGATGTGTGGAGAAAGGAAGTGCAGTGTGTTTTAACTTGGCTTCCTTTCATGAAGGAGCCTTCGCGTGTTGTCATAGGTAAGAGCCTTTCCTCTCATGTGATAACTGCTTACTGCCTTCCTTCATTTTGATTATTAGGCAGTTGGTCATTATGGATTTCTAGAAATTCTTTATGTATTAGGGAGATAACCCCTCTTGGTAACTGCACCTACCTGGCTGGAACGTGTGTCTCAGGACAAGAGATTCTGAAAGGGGCCTTTGCTGGAGCAAATACGACGCATTTGAGTTAAGAGCGATAGCCATTCAAGGAAGTGTGTGGACTCCAGCCCACATGTAGCATCAAGGTTTCCCATCAAGCCAGTCTGTGTTTGTAACTTTTGTCACTTAACGCCTTTACATCTTGGTTTTCTTACCAGCAATATAAGGCTTATCAGTACCATCATTCTGGGTAACACATACAAAGAACCTGATAGCGCAATGATTACACAGGGCCAGATAACTGAACACACCCACAGCCCTCCTCAGGGTGAAGCCACTTACTCTCTGCTAAAGGTAAAGTTACAGCAGGAAGAGAAAGCATGAACAATCATGGGGGACCCTGGAGAATTCTGGGTGCAGCTCCCAGGGTCCTTTGTCTTTTGCATAGGAGGTGCTCTGTTTGAGGATTGTGAACCACAAAAATACGTGCAAAAAATCTTGGTTTTAGGGTAGCTCGAGCAGAAGTTTCTAATCGTATCTTAATACCCTACTGGTGATGTGGCCAAGCCGGACTGTGTTACTGATGCAACCAGTATAAACCATCAATCTCTGCATCTGTAACTGTGTAGACAGGCTGGCCCTGGATCTCTCCAGGGATCTTTGAACGTTCAACAGCACATTATAAATCACTAACTAGCTCATCTCACCATCCTTAGCTTAGCCACAGGTCAGTATTAGACCTCCCAACATCCCTGGAGACCAACATAGAGTGATCCCAGTCCAGCTGTAAGAGAACTTCACCTTACGTAGGTACTCAGGAAGCCCACAGAAACTATGGCTTCCTTTCCTTTTTTCTGGAACAAACCTGCTTTTGCCTTCACCAGGACTCTCTTCTTGTATAGCTCAGGGGAGACCGTGACCAGTGTGACCAGCTTGGCCCCACTGCAACCCAAGAAGGGCAAGAGGCGGAAGGAGAAGGCTGACGTTCCTCCTGCAGTGCCTGCCAAAGGTAGGAGGCTAGCCTACAGTTACCCACGTGGGAGCCAGCACAGCTGATCTAGAAGTGGGTCTGGGGTCTGCAGTGGGATCAGGACAGGGGGAGTAGACAGATGGAGGATGTGACATCTGGTGGTGATATGGCTTGCAGAACCCCACCTAGATTCTGATCATAACTGAGCCCTATCACTGAAGTGGGGCTGGGGGTAGTGCGCTGGCCCAGCATGGCATTAGTGGGGAGATGGGAGGGGGGAGGTCAACGTGCACAGATTGATTCCACAGTGTACTTCACCTTGAACTATTAACATGCTCACACATAGTGGGGTGGGACAAAGGGGTATCAACATCTTCTTGGTTCATTCAAGGGAATGAAGCCTCTCTGATTTTTCTAAGGATGTACACCAGGTATGTAGTTTATTTTGGATTTGTTCTGGGGATAAAATGAGGGTTAGTCTTTGATTCCAGTTGTAATGTAGAGCAACATAGGTGAGAAAGATGAATGTTTCTGGAGAACTGCTCATGTCTTAGGAGAACTGAGACCATTTACAGATAGTTCCTAAAATAACGGTGGCCAGTTTTGGAGATGTTCATACCTCAAAAGAGTTTGAAACGTAGTTGGAAGTACTGGGACCGTCCCCTCGGGATCCTTGGGGTCCTGTGCTGAAAGCCACTGGTGCTCAGGCTGACCACGTGTTGGGTAGACAGAGGGGCCGGAAGGCCTGGGCATTCTGGGAGGCACGACAAGTGTCGATCTGGGGAGGGAAGGGGGCAAAGAACCCTGCCGTAACGTCTCATTCAATCAGAGTAGGTAGTACCTTACCTTACAAAAGATGAGAGTGAGCCTCAGAGAGCCAAGTGGTAGAGTCTGGCTTGGAGGGGAGGTCTGCCGAACTTTCAAGGTCAAGTTCAAGTTCCAAAACATTGAAGTACTCATTACATGATATTTGGGGGAAGAGCCTCAATTTTCTCCTCTGTTAAATGGGGACAATAAGACCCGCCTCCCTGATGACCTCTGAGGGCTGCTGTGAGGGTCAGGGTCACTGCTTTAACTGTTACTGTGTAGTTAGGATGAAGCCCAGGGAAGTTCCCGGCCTCAGGCTTTACCAAACATACCTGGTTCTCACCTGCACACCTGACCTCTTGGTAGCTGGCAGTGTTTTATGCAGAGTTGTTTCATTGACCTTGCTGTTGGCAGATTATGACTCGTCCAAAGACTAGGGGAGGATTGCTCTCCATGGAGGGGCACCCAGTGGTGCCTAGATCAGAAACTGAACTTCTTCCGTCGGGGCAGGAAGGGGTGCGTGAGTCACCACAGAGTATGTTTGTGATGCTTACGCCATGTGGGCATTACGAGTCCTGGAGGAAATGCAAGCTAAACCCTTGACATCCTTCCACAGCTCCCATAGCTACCACATTCCATAAACCGAAGCTGCTGAAACCACAAAGGAAAGTCGCCCTGGTGAGTAACCATATTCTGTGTTGTTATTATCCCCTCAAGCCTTAAACACACGTGAGGTCAAAGGAATACCTTGACTGACTCAAAACGTGCTGCAAGTTCTTGGTGCTTCCATCCCCAAGCAAAGACAGTCTCTCTTATTAGGTCAGCTTTTGAGCCATCTTTTCTCCACATCTGGTTCCCAGAGTGGCTTTTAAAAAATCCAAGGAGAACCATGTTCCATTATAAATGCTATTTTTCAAAAAGAAGGGGAAAAAAAGCCACACTCCAGAAGGTATAAATAGAATATGGACCTGTTTATATAAATTTACCTGATAACTACTCTGAAGAGACTGATGAAGAACCTTCCAGAAAATTTGTCATAGCTATTTATTTTGAAATAACTGTAGATTTACAGAAGAGTTGTAAAGACACGGCGAGTTCCTGTCTGCCCTTCACCCAGCTTCTCCTAGGGTGAGCATCTCACATAGCCCTGGTGTCTTTATCAAAAGTAAGATTACCATCAGCACATTGCCATTAACCACACTCCAGACTTCAGCCAAATTTCAGCAGTTTCTCCACCCATGTTCTTCTCCTGTTCCAGGATCCAGTCCAGGATATCACATTGCACTTAGTTGTCATGCATCCTTAGTCTCCTCCAGTCTGTGACATTCCCTAATCTTTCTTTTTCTTTTGTGGCCTTGACACTTCTGAAGAGAAGCAGCCAGTTATTTTTTTACAATGCTCCTTGATTTGGCTTTCTCTGAGATTTTCTGTTGAGTAGAGTATGAGGTTCTGGATTTTGGACCAGAATACAGAGGTGATATTTCCTCCTCATGGCATGTTTTTGGGGATGCATGATGTCAATATGTCTTATTAGTGACATTAATTGCGATCGCTTGGTTTGTTAGGGTGGTGTTTGCTGGGCTTCCTCTATACAAAGTTACTATTTTCCCCTTTCCGTACCTGTTTGTTAGAAGCCCGTCACTAGGGATGCCTGGGTGGCTCAGTCGGTTAAGCGTCTGCCTTTGGCTCAGGTCATGATCTCAGGGTCCTGCGATCGAGTCCCACATCGGGCTCCCTGCTCGACGGGGAGCCTGCTTCTCCCTCTCCCTCTGCCTGCCACTCCCCCTGCTTGTGTTCTCTCTCTCTCTCTGACAAATAAATAAATAAAATCTAAGGAAAAAAAAAAAAGAAGCCAGTCACTAAGTCCAGTTCACACTCAGGGGGAGGAGAGAAGCTCCCTGTTCTAAAGGAGGAGTATTAAAAGAATTTGTGGACATCTGTTAACCACCATAGTAATTAATAAATATTTTGGGGGAGATATGTCAAGTATAAGCAAATATCCTGTTTTTCCTTGAACTTTTGCCCACGATTTTAGCGTTCATCAATGGATTTTGCTTGTAGCAGTTATTGCTATGGTGTACTAACGGTGATTTTGTATTTTCCTTAATCCTTCTGTTTTTACTGGGGCACCTGGGTGGCTCAGTTGGTTAAGTGTCTGCCTTCGGCTCTGGTCATGATCCTGGGGTCCTGGGATCGAGTCCCACGTTGGGCTCCCAACTCAGCGGGGAGTCTGCTTCTCCCTCTCCCTCTGCCTCTCTCCCTGCTTGTGCTCTCTTTCTGTCTCTGTGTCTCGAATAAATAAAAAATCTTTAAAAAAAATCCTTCTATTTGGAGGGGGAGACGAACCATGAGAGATGATGGGCTCTGAAAAACAAACTGAGGGTTCTAGAGGGGAGGGAGGTGGAGAGATGGGTTGGCCTGGTGATGGGTATTAAAGAGGGCACGTTCCGCGTGGAGCACTGGGTGTTATGCACAAACAATGAATCATGGAACACTACATCAAAAACTAATGATGTAACGTATGGTGATTAACATAACAATAAAAAAATTTAAAGAGAAAAAATATTGGGAGGAAAAAAAAATCCTATTTTTACTACTTGAAATTCTTCTGTAAGGAAAAGCTGGACACCTTCTCTCATTTATTTATTCACTAATTTGTATCAGTATGGGTGCATGGATATGAAAAATTTTAAGTTTCTAATTATTTACTTTGTCACTAACATTGCTTAGCTGTTGTATATTTGTGTGTGAGAGAAAGAGAGACAGAGAGAGACAGACAGGCAGAGAGGGAGGGAGAGAGAGAGAGACTGAGAGGGAGAGATATTGGCAGCCCTATTCTAAAATGTGGATGTACTGGGAAGGGCTGAAATGATCTTGAAGGAAAAGAACAAAGTGGAGAATTTACATACCAATTCTCAAGACTTACCTTAAAGCCACAATAATTAACAAACTATGGTATGAGCACAAAGATGGAACAAGGGAACAGAATAAAGAGCTCCAAACAGATCTACATATGTATTGTCACTTGATTTATTACAAAAGTAACATTGCAAGTCAGGGGAGGGATTACTTTTCAATATAGGGTGATAGGTCTGTTGGATATCCATATGAAGAACAATGATCCGTTACCCCTGCTTTACACCATAGACAAAAATTAGAGAAGGATCATAGACTTAAATAGGAAAGGTAAATATAAAGCTTCCTAAAGATTGCATATCTCCCTAACTTCAGCTCAGGCAAAGACTGTTTAAAACAAGACTCACCAAGTACCAACCATAAAGGAAAAGATGGAAAAATTTGGATTACCTTAAAATTTAGACTGTTGATTGTTGGGGTGCCTGGGTGATTGGGTTGGTTGAGCATCCAACTCTTGATTTCAGCTCTGGCTGTGATCTCAGGGTTGTGGGATCAAGCCCCTTTGGACTCCATACTCAGTGCGGAGTTGGCTTGAGATTTTCTCTCTTCCTCTCCCTCTGCCCCTCCCCCTGCTTTCTCTTTATCTCTCTAAAAATAAAAATAAATAAATAAAAAATCTTAAAATTCAGAATGTTATGTTTATTGTTATGTTAATCACCATACATTACATCATTAGTTTTTGATGTAGTGTTCCATGATTCATTGTTCATAACACCCAGTGCTCCACGTGGAACGTGCCCTCTTTAATACCCATCACCAGGCCAACCCATCCCCCCACGCTCCTCCCCTCTAGAACCCTCAGTTTGTTTTTCAGAGTCCATCATCTCTCATGGTTCATCTCCCCCTCTAAATAGAAGGATTTTTTTAAAGATTTTTTATTTATTCGAGACACAGAGATACAGAGAGAGAGAGAGAGAGAGCACAAGCAGGGAGAGAGGCAGAGGGAGAGGGAGAAGCACACTCCCCACAATCAGAATGTTGATTGTGATTTAAAGGCACCAAGAAAGAACGCAAAGGCAAACCACAGTTTGGAAGAACATCCAGCATGCATGCATCTAACAAAGCGTTTTTTTTTTTTTTTTAAGATTTTATTTATTTATTTGACAGAGAGAGACACAGCCAGAGCAGGAACACAGGCAGGGGGAGTGGTAGAGGGAGAAGCAGGCCTCCCGCGGAGCGGGGAGCCCGATGCGGGGCTCGATGCGGGGCTCGATCTCAGGACCCTGGGATCATGACCTGAGCCGAAGGCGGACGCTTAACCGACTGAGCCACCCAGGCGCCCCTAACAAAGGGTTCTTATCTAGAATGTCTGAACACCTACAAATCAATAGGAAATAAAAGGACAACTCTACAAAAAAAAAATATAATAAGCAGAAGTCTTCAACAGGCACTTCACAAAAGGCGATACACCAATAGTAAGCACATGAAAAGTATTTAACCTCATTGGCATCATGGCAATGCAAATTGAAAAGCGTAAAGTTTACATCTAGGAGGATGGCTGAAATGAAACACTTGTTTCTTTTGCCTATTTTTCTCTGACCCATTGGGAATTTGGGAATGTATCCAGTTTTATCTGTCAGATTCTTTTTTATTTTACTTTATGTTTCATATTTCAATAATCATTCCTTGCCAGTTTTATTAAACTTCATCCCTACATTCTAAACAGTTATTTGAACTAAACATTTACTAACTTTATTATTATTCTTTCTTGAATCTAATGTCTTCTCCCCAAATATCTTTCTTTGCATTTACATTTGAGCAAGTTGTCTGGGAATGGAATTCTAGTTTTATAAACTTTTTCCACTCTGTTCTGGGAAATATGCTGAATACTTTATGTTCATATCTATTTACTTCCCATATTGCTCAGGGTAAATGCCAAATTCCATACTGTGGCCTATAATACCCTATATCATACAAGCCACATACGTCATTTAAATTTTTTAGTAGCCACATTAAAGAAGTAAAAAGAAACAGGTGGAACCAATTTTAATAATATGGTTTATTTAACCCAATATAGCAAAAAGATTATCATTTAAATATATAATCTATGCAGAAATTATTAATGAAATATTTTACATGCTTTTTATTCTCCAAAGCCTTCGAAATCCAGTGTATATTTTACACCTACTGCACATCTCATTTCAGAGCCACATTTTCAGTGCTTAACAGCCACATTTGACTAGTGGCTACCATATTGGAAAGCTCAGCTGTATACAGTCTAGCCCCCATTAGCTCTTTGACATCATTTTTGCACTGTCTCCCTTCTTTGTTCCCCTCTGGCCACCCTGGCCTCCTTGCTAGTCCTTAAACATACCAAGCATGTTCTGGAAGGATGTTTGCACCAGTTCACTCTGCCTGGAACGTTCTCCCCAGGATATGCTTTCGGCTTGTCACTCACCCTGGAAGGTCTCTGTGCAGATATCACCTTGATGGAGAAACCTTCCTGAAATCCTATATAAAACACTGCTCACCCTCTGACGGCACTTCTCATGACAGATACCCTGACGTATTTTATATTTATCTATTAATTGCCTCTCCTTTCTACCAGAATGCAAGGCCTATCAAGGCAGGGAGCTTGTCTGCTCTGGTCGTGCGATGTCCTCCGTGCCCAGAGCAGGCTCCAGCATGATGGAGATTCATTAATGACTGCACACCAGCTCCGTGGAGTAGGTTCTGTCATTCTGCTTTTACAGATGGGCATAGTGAGATGCAAAGTCAGTGAGGTGCAAGATGGAACCCAAGGTCATGCACACTTGAATCTG